ATGGGATGAATGTTTTGACTAGTAGTAGTCTGATTAAGAATAGATCGATCAACATGTATATTGCCACAAACAGATGGCACAATATCAACCAAAGAACCTACTGCAAGATCAGGAGCCTGTACATGATCAGTATCCTTAGGATCTGAAAATATCTCTGCAACAGAAGGACCAACACCAGGTGATACATGACGTACAGGAGCAACAGTAGACTCAATAGCTACTTACTCATTGCGAATTGAACCACTAAAACCATTAGTAGTTGGAGATGTAGCAGTATACAAAGTTTTATCCTCATACACGACACTCGGCCCAGACATAAATGGAGTAACAATAGGAAGTAGCCCTTCAGTGACCTCCGTATGACACAGATCACCACTTGTCATTTTGCAAACTTGAAAAGGAAAAACATGTTCATCAAACACCATATGTCGAGAGATGATCACCTTGCTATCATCATCTAAACATCGATAGCCCTTATGAGACGGACTATACCCCAGAAAAACACATTGTCTCGACCTAAACTCTAGTTTGTGACGATTAGAAAATCTCATGCATGGAAAACATGCACAACCAAAAACACGCAAAAAAGAATATTCGGGAATCCTGTGATACAATATTTCAAAGGGAGATTTGCCATCCAAATCCTATATGGGTAATCTATTAATAAGATAAACAGCTAACACGAAAGCATAACTCCAAAACTTCAGAGATAACAACACTTGAGCTAGTATAGCTAATCCCATTTCAACGATATGCATGTGTTTTCGCTCAGCTCAACCATTCTGCTCGGAGGTGCCTGGACAAGAAATTCGATGCTCTACACCATTTTGTTGAAACCAACCCTTGAGTAACTGATATTCACCACCACCATCTGTTTGTAGAATCTTAATTTTACAGCCAAACAACACTTTTATCAACTTCTAAAAATTAAGAAAACACGATAACACCTCATATTTTCATTTAAGTAAGTAGAGCCAGGTGTATCTACTCGAGACATCAACAAAAGAAACATAATAAGAAAATCCATCTGAAGAAGTAAATGGAGCAGGACCCCAAACATCCAAAAAAACTAACTGAAAATGATCATTATATTTCGTTAAAGAAGAACAAAAAGGAAGCTTGTGAGCCTTCCCTTGCATACAAGCAACACATACATGTGACAATCGATTTTTATGAAATGATATATTAATACATTTCATAACATATTTTACTACATCAACAGAAGCATAAACAAGACATCAATGCCACAAATCCAAAGGATTTAGAGTCACAGAAACAATGTTTAATTGAGCAGCCAAACTCGCCTCAGCACAAGGAAGCAACTGATAGAGACCTTTATCCGTGAGCCTCCCGCGAAGAAGAACCTGTCGAGTCTGAGCATCCTTCACAACACATTCATACGGGTGAAACTCAAGAAAAACACCATTATCTCGAGTGAACTGAGAAATAGAGATCAACTTTTTCTGGATGTTAGGACCATGTAACATGTTACGCAAAAAAAAGGCTTCATACTAGAATGTAAAGTACTTTTCCCTACATGAGCAATTTTAACACCATCACTATTTCCCATGTGCAAAACATTATCACCTGTATACACCATACCTGAGTGAAAAACTGATGAATCATTAGTCACATGATGAGTAGTACCAGTGTCAGGATACCAAACGGGATCACTTAAAGGCTTCAAGAAAGACTGAGCACCAGAAGACGGAAGCATGGAAACAAAGGTCACATGTGTTGAGGGTGCTAAAAAGGGATTCTGACCAACCACAGATGGACTCGAAGCATCATTAAAAGAACCAATTGAAACTCCCGAGGACAGATAATAACCAAGGACTACCGGGGAACAGAACGAAACATTAAGAACCATCAAATTAGTTGGATACAAGTAAAAAAGAGGAGCATGAACAAAACCAGGATGGGAAACCGTATTCACAGTGTGATTATACACCTGTGTAGAAGACTGACGTTGATCTACCACTGAACTACTCGACCGTTTGGAGTAATTTCCAGCTGAAGCACCGAAATCAGCAACACCCGTGTAATTACGATCAAATCGATGATAACATTTCTGAACAACATGACCAAACTTACCACACAACTGACATTGTGACCTATTGGAGTTATATTTCTACCCACGACCTCGACCTCGATAACCACTTGCCTACTAACCACGCACCTGAGAAGAATGGTCATCGGAAGAGCCTTTGATATCTGACTCATCATTAAACTACAACTGAACAACATTAGTCGAAATCCCTTCACCCAAAAACACCTTCTGTCGAGCCTCACAATCAAGTAACATTTCAATGAGAGTATCCAACGACAATTCCTTTCTAGAAGCTATAGCAATAACAAACTCAAACTCTATAGTTAAACTAGCTAAAGTAACATTAACATGCTCTCGTTCAGTAACAATACTGCCAGAAGCATTTAACATATCACAAACAACTTTAACCTTTGCTAAAAATTCATGAACAGACAAACCAGATTTCTTTTGAGAATGCAAAGTATGGCAAAGTGAATAAATTTTTGCACTAGATCGCGCACCAAACAAACAAGTCACAACATTCCAATTAGCAACTGCAGACGTAAGACCAATAAGATAAGGCAGAATCTTCATACTTACAGTGGTTAGCAACCAGGAAGCAAGTAGTTTATCTTGCTGCCTAAACAAAAAAAAAACTATGGATTCTCCTCGAGCTGCCCAACATCGTTAGTAACAAACTCATTTGGAACAATTACATTAGTGGAAATAAACTTTAGCAAGTCATAACCATCAATGATTAAAGACACTTGATGTTTCCACAACAAATATGTACTCTCAGTAAGCTTAACTGTATCATGCTTAGGTATATATTGAATGGAGTTCATACGAGCAACAGTGCAACTCATAGGGGAATTAATCTGAGAAATATTCTCATCACGAGTTGGATCAGCCATAAGATCAACCATGTCAATCAATACTAGAAAAAGAATCACATATCTGAATTCAAGAAATCAAACAAAGAAATCTGGAAACCAGATTTAAGAAGCAGAAAAAAACAGTGCAAAGAAACCAAAGAACAAGCACCTTAGCTTCATAAATCGTCAACAAGAAGAGAATCCACAACAACACCAGGAATTGGCGACTGATACCATGTTAAGATAATAAACCTACTGCTAAGTATAGAAGAAACAAAAGAGAAAATAACAGAATACTTTGCATCTTATTATGAGAAAATCATGTGTACAAGAGTGAAACCAAACTAGCTATTTATAACAACAGCTAACTAACAAACTCTACCCTCAACTAACTCATAACAACCTCTAACCAACTCATAACTATACAGTTGAAACCAACACCATTCTACACACTAACAAGGTGGGCGTTAGTCAGGAACGTCATATCTTGTAATAGACCTTAGAAGGAGATAAAGTGTCTTTTTAAGGAACCTCAGAAGGAGCTAGTGCTGGAAGAGATACTAAGATGCTTTGGAAGGTTGTTGAATTTGAGTTTAGGGTCTCTAAAGCTTCTAGAAGGCATGGGTTAGTTACGATATGGTTATGAGTAAGTTTTCAAATTATGGTTGATGACTTTTGAAATTGTGTATTAGTGGCAATGGGAATTGTTTTCGAGCGTTTTGTTCTTGTCCCTTTGGAAAAGTTCATGATCCTTGTGATATAACCAAGCATAGGCTATTGTGGTATGGCTTTGTAGCGTTAAAATGGTTCAGGCAAGGCAGAGATTTTTATGGGTGGTCTCCATTGGGGTGCGATGTCAAAGCGAGAGGAGAGGTTGAAGAGGAAGTCAAATAGGATTGGAGGAATTCATTTTATTAGGTGTACTATGATTATAAAGGGTATTGAAATCAATGCAAATTGGAAATGTTAATAGGGGTATTGAAGACTTGGAAATGTCGATTCTCAAGCACATGATATAGAAAAGAAATTCAACAAAAATTAAGCCAGCTCGAACCTGGGTCCGTTGTGCCTTGCTTTGTTTGAAGCCAGAGTGAAAGTTGATTCCAGAAGCTGATTTTTGGGTTTGAGTTATGTGGACTCCCATTTCTGGAAGCGTTAAAGCCTCCCATTGGTTGCTCGTTTGTTGTACAAGCACTGACCAAGGGTTTCAAGTCAGGTTTAAAGGGAGTGTCTTGGCTTATGGGGTTTGGTTTCCCAAGAGAAGTTATTGACCCATCTTAAACTTCGGGTGCTTCATAATCCACTGTGGATGTGGATCAAAGTGTACTTTCTGCCCAATGACTGCGTGTTTTGTATTGATTCTGAAATTTCAGATCAAATTATGAATTGAAGGTTCTTTTGTTTATGATTGTTGATTGGTGTGGAAGTTGAGAGAGGTAAAACCAAGGTATCAAGGAGTCATGGAGTGAAGCCATCACGTTCGTGATGGTCAAGGTCGTTGACACCACAAATTCAAGATTGGTTTGTATAACAGATTATATTGCAAAGGCAAGTTCAAAAGTAAGAGATTCTACAAAGCTTGGTGGTATCAATTCATATGGAGGCGTGTATCTTCTTTGTAGGGGTTATGCTTTCTGTTTACTGGTGTTGGGATTGGGAAGTCTGCTATCTTTTCAGTTAGTTCCATTGCAGTGGTGAATTTTTGCCTTGTTTCCCTCCTGTTTTTGTGGAGCACTCTTTTCCTCTATTTAGGTTCATTTAAGTTAGGGAGGTTTTTAACGAGTCTGACAATTCAAGGTTAAACGTATTATTATGTCTAATAAATAAAATAATTTATTGCCGAGCAAAAAAAAAGGCACTGAGAATTGAAAGGTGGTCGTGCTCTTCCAGTATATGGCAATTAAGGTGTAGGCTGCTTCATAATCTTCCATTTGGCTCCATGTGCGGCCAATCTAAAACACATCCACAACTTTCACTTACATCGTACTTCTTGTTCTAACAGATATAGTGTTACTTTCAAGTTACAACGCTTATATGAGAAAAGTTAATGACTAACCGATAAAGTAATAAGAATTGAAAACTTAGGATGTATAATAGTGGACGTGCCGGAGTGGCTATCGGACATGACTAGAAATCATGTGGGTTTTGACCGTGCAGGTTCAAATTCTGCCGTTCACGTTGTCTTATTAGGGTCTATTGACTACCATGTTGGGATTAAACCAAGATGTTCTATTTGTATCTCTTGTATTATTGGCGTTATATATGAAAATTTTACTTTTGCACCAGATTTTACATGGTAACGAAAGCCTCACTGCCATAAAAATGGCCACTGATTCCAAGGACTTGGCAAAACAGTTTGTAACCAATTTAAGACTATACTCGAATCAGATTCCACAACTAACGAGGCCTTATGAGCCCAATCCGATAGATAACAGCTAACATTGCTGAGTTTTGAATTAATCCCTCCAAAAGTAGAAACATTAAAGCACAAGAGCACCAAGTGTTTGCTTGAACTTGTGAAATTACGTTACCCATCTTTGAGAGTTTAAAGCCTCACCATTTTAGTGAGAAATGTTAAAAGAACAAGAGTTCAAGTAACTTATGAATGTTGGAAATATTTATACTGGAAAACCAAACCGTTAGCACTAAAATGATAATTTAAACAAAATAATTTAATAGGATAATCTGAACTGTGTCATGCTGAAATCACTGCCTTAGAAACGAATTCACCCCGATGTGTGTAATCACTGTGATAGGCGGATCATCCCCCGAGGTTAATACGGTCGCTCTAAGGATTCATACACTCTAAAATCAGAGTGCACTACGGTGGTACTACTCTTCTCTTAGCACCGGAGAAATGAAGTAAACTTAGAAAGTTGCAGAGAGCTTTTGAGAGGAATTGGGAATGTCTGAGAGTGAGTTAAGAAGCTGAAAATGCCTCTCTATTTATAGGTTAGACTCAAGGACAAAAACGTCCAAATAAAAAATCAGATTAAATTCTGATTTTAATATTTTCAAATTTAATGCTTGTCATAAACGAATAAACTTGGTCTCAAAGTTGTCTAGGTTCATGATTCGGAGATAGTTGTTACAATGGCTAATTAATCTTGCAATTAAGCCCCGTAACTGAAGCAACATAACAACTATCCATTTTATTATGTATATAGCTAAAATACTATCCAAATACATCATATATTCAAACAAGATAGAATTCCAAAAATAATGCTTCTCAATTGCAACTGATTGTTACTGACTCAATTTATAGAATTCAAAATGACAACTCACTATTCAACCTATAAATATAAGAGAAAAATTCTTTTACATTATTTGTTTACCCAGAAAATTCCTACGAATTATCTCTAAAAAGATAGTACACGTGAAGACGTATCGAAGACACGTATTGCCATGAACCACAACAATAGTGGTGACGACGCACGAGACTTGTTCTGTATCACTCAACAAGGGAGGGGAGAATGAACATTATAAATACCTTTGCACATAGTATTTCCCACTCCATGTGGGATATTGTTTGTAGCATTACTAGCATTCCCCCGCTAATGCAAAAGAATTCTCTTGAAACTCGAAAGATGACCTTTTTAGAAGAGCAATTGCGAGATTAGTTGCTTAAGCACTAGTGAACGTATCTTGAACTAGTACATAGTGATGATGAGCAATTATTCTCTTAGATAAGTGAAATCAGTCTTGCACTTTCTAAGATAAGAGTAAAAACTCATAACACATAACTAACCCCTTCATCCACCGAAGTCCTCGATGTGTAATACACACACATACACATACACACGAAAGTATATATTTGACCATCTTACCTTAGGATTTTAGTAAATGTACAAGAAAAACATCCTAACGTTTTTCATAGAAGGTGGCGAATCCTTCTCAATTACGTAAGTTATTTCATCAGGTTTATCTCAACATAAACCACCCTAAAATTGGGCTATGAAATAATTAAGAGCTTTTACAACAATTCAACCTCTCTATTAGTTATGGTGACTTTCTTCAAATTCATTATAAATAAAACCACCCAAACTCTGGGATAAGAGGTCATTAAGAATAAATATTCAACCTCATTGATTGGTGAATTCAATATGTCTTTCTCACCAGGACCAAACTCTTGAATTTGAATTCATTAAGAGTTAAAACTTGACCTTCCTAGAGGTAAGTTCTTCTTGTTCTTTAAAATTAGGAATACCCACTCAACGCTGGCTTATGAACTTATTAAGAATATATAATCAACCAAAGTAGGTAAATTCATCAAGTCTTTCTCACTAAGACCACCCAAAATTGGGCTATGAATTTATTAAGAGCAATGAAGCTCATCTTGTGCATGTACATTGTTCGTCATATGGATAGATAAATAGAAATATACACTATGAGTCTTTCCATGGCTTTATTTGAACACATTGAACTTAGATAACGAAGTTGGGTATCACCATGAATTCCTCAACCAATGGGCTTTAAACCCATCCCCATCAACGAATCTAGGACTACTTTCCTACTTAACCATTTGGTAAGAGGATCTGGTAAATTCCTTTATGACTTCACATACTCTAAAGAGCGTACTATATTCCTTATTAAGTGTCTAACATATTCACGTTTTATGCGAATGTGTCTTTTCTTACCATTGTAGGCTTGGTTCTTAGCCACATATATAACATCTTGTGAATCACACAATGAGGAGACCGAAGGAGTCGATCTTCCCCACAATGGAATTTCTAATAATAAATTTCTAAGCCACTTGGCTTTTTGCCCAGCTAAGTCAAGAGCTATAAACTCTGACACCATGGTGAAACGAGCAATATAGATTCGCTTCGCAGACTTCCACGAGATCACTGCTCCACCTAAAGTAAAAATATACCTAATCGTAGAGCTTACCTCATCATTATTAGAAACTCAATTGACATCACAATATCATTCTAAAACCACAAGATAACAAACAAACTCAAGTTTCCAAAATATCGTACCCTTAAGATATTTGAGTAAGCGTTTAAGGGTAACCCAATGTTCACTACTTGGATTATGAGTATATCTACTAAGTTTGTTCACATCGTAGGCAATATCAGCCTGTGTATAGTTCATTAAGAACATTAGACTTCCAGTTTTTTTAACATATTCTATTTGGGAAACACTACTTCCTTTATTTTTAAAGAGATGTATGGTAGGGTCATAAGGAGTTCGAACTCGGATGACATCAAAACTATCAAGTTTATTTAACACATTCTCAATATAATGTATTTGATTTAAAGAAAATCCATTTTCAATTTTGGTAACTTTGACTCCTAATATTACACCGACTTCTCCCAAATCAGTCATCTCAAATTTAGTATTAAACAAAAAAAATTTTGTTTTGTTAACGGACTCAATGTTAGTACTGTAAATCAACATGTCATCAACATATAAACTTATGATGATGCAATCAGTACTGAACATTATTGTTATTATTAATAATAACAATAATAATAATAAAATAAAATCCGGACAAAAATGGGTGTCTACAATATTATTATAGGAAATTACTTATTTTTCATATTAATAATTTTATTTACAATTAATGATTGATAACTTAATTAAAATCAAATTTAAAATAAAATGATTTAATTAACAAAAAATTAATAATCAAAATAAAATCAGTCCAAGTGACTATAGACTTCAATTTCCCCTTAATAAAATTCTAGATTGTTCCACGATAAACGGGACAAATGAAGCGATTGCAGAAGAAGAAATCCGACGGTTAAGATTAGCCGAATGTTACTGCAGAGAATTTATAATCCGAAATGTGGATAGCATTTTCAGTAGCGGAGAACAGCGAAACCTCCTCAAAAGCCTAGAAGGTGAAGTGTACTCCATTTTCTTCTCTTTTACTCCCCTTCCTTATCCGCCGCTGCACCTCTTTATATCTACGGTGGTCAAACACCTACTCCTGCGAACCAGCCACCGCTTCCCTTGCCGGAGTTTGCAAGACCTCACTCACTCACGCTGGTTCATCAGTACCTCCGGCCACTATCAATCACCTTCGCTTTCTCGTCGTTCTCTCCTCTAAACTGCGTTTTCTTCTCTTTATTTCCCCTCTACATTTCCTTCATCATCGTTGCTATTTCTTTCCGCCTTTGCCGCTCAGTAATCGTTTCAACTGCCTCTGCCCCTCTCTCTCGTTTTATTTATGTCTGTTTATTTTTTATTCATTTTGTGCTAATTTTCGTTTGTTTTCTAGAATTTGCCTTTATTTAAGTGGTGATATTTTAGCTTTATTTGGTTTTAACAATTTTTTTAGTTGACGACTCTTTCATTTCGTGCTTACAAGCGGTTTGAATTTGATATATTTTTATTTGTTTTTCGGTGTTATTTTAGCTTTGTCATTTCATTTACGTTTTTGAGTTGTAGAAAATGGAAATATTATGATTAATCCTGCTTATTTCTCCTGGAAATGGAAGTCATTTGCATTTTTCATTGGAAGTATTTGCTATGACTCATGATATTCATTAATTTACATTTGAGCTAGCCTTAATTCTAAAACCGTAATTTGGAAATATTTCAGCTTGATAGTAGCGTAAGATGGCATCGACTTTAACAGCCATGTCTTCAGTTGGCTCATTCATTGCACCTAATGGTCTGGTCATGGACAAGAAGCTTCCATCTTCTTCAAACAGATTGTCATCTTTTGCTTCCGTTTCCCCGTCCTCTTTTGGTAGTAGACGAAATGTTGTTCTTAGAAAGTCTCGTCTGCCCAAGATTTCTGCAGCAAAAGAGTTGCATTTCAACAAGGATGGGTCAGCTATAAAGAAACTGCAAGTGTGTATCTGTTTCAAATGCTAAAGTGTCTCTAACTGGATTGTGTTTAACTGAATTTCATAGTGCTCAATCCAGTTTATGTTCTTTTGTTGTAGACTGGCGTAAACAAGCTTGCTGATTTGGTAGGAGTCACACTTGGACCAAAAGGCAGGAATGTTGTTCTGGAGAGTAAATATGGCTCCCCAAAAATTGTTAATGATGGTGTGACAGTAGCTAGGGAGGTATGCACTTGCTCTTAACCAGACATCCAAGTTGAAACTAGAATTGATTGTGTGCAAAAGTATTTTCTATGCTGTATGTTTCACCTATGACTTGATCAACGACCGACTGAATGTTGTTACTGTATCAATTTCAAGGTTGAGTTGGAGGACCCT